TTGCCTGTATGCTTGAACCCTTAACTTGTAATTAACTTAACTTATATAATTAATAACTTAATTATAAATTACTTTAAATATTTAAATATATATTTGACTTTCAGATGATATTACAGTATCAATATTTCCTATCATATTAAAATCTTCCATCATTATTTGCACGTTTAATAGTCATGTTAAATTTTTTAATGATTCGATTCGAGTTCGAATGAAATTTCATAGACTCGATTCGACTCGAATGAAAAAAATGAGATTCGATTCGACTCGACATAAAAATTCTTGATTCGCACATCTCTACTTATCTGAATATAAAGATTGCAAGTAAATCCGCGGAATAATAGCCAACTTACCTTGCTATGAACCAACTTGCTGTAAAAGCTGTATCGCAAATTTTTATTGAAGATAATTTTTCAAGTTTCATCATCGGACGAGACGATAAAAATATCTCATATACTTTATAAGTTTTGTCTTCACTTCCGTCGATTATCGTATTTTATTAATGACATTTTTTTACACTTATTTATATTAGTTACAAACGCCATATGCATTTACTGAACTTGCACTGTCTCGGGATAATTTGCCGGAATTAGCCGGCAATTCCCTAGAACATATTTTCCGTGAAAAGAGCAGTAAGTTTCGCTGCATTACCTGTTTCGGAATCAGTTTCGGCAACTTTGAATTGTAAAGTTAATAGGCCTTAAACAAACCTAGGTTCCATAATTGATCAGCTGATCACTCTTGGGCTTTCACGTTCAGCCATGTATTATTTCTGTTTACAAACTTGGTTCTAGCTATTAATTTTGCAATATTAGGTGGAAGAAAGTGGATAGATTTTTTATTACGTATTATCTAGGGATTATCTAGGCGATGTTCAAAAATACATCGATGTTTAAAATATCGATTAATAAGAAAAAAATTGGAATGACGTCGATTATTTTCTAAAAGAAAATCAGTTTACCGATTTATCGGTTAAATTTGTAAACATTTAAATTGGTTAGCACCAGATTAAACATTGCTAAGGATACGTTTGGAAACATCACTCGGATATTCTCCTTGCTTACATGTTGGATGAGTTCTTAAATTCGCAACAGATGTAGCCGGCGTTATTCAATCCTTGTTTTCTACTAAATGTTAAACAAGGACGAAATGACGTCCGCAATATTTTCAGTTTTACTAGAAATCCTTGTAAAGGATCTTACACACTGAACACGACTAGCGACTATGCTATGAGCGATATCTAATGAGAGTTTCGTTTTAAGAAGAAAGAGCTTTCATTTCTTCTTTAAAACAGAGCTCTCATTGGATATCGTTTATTGTTCGTCGCTAATCGCGTCAGTGTGCAAGGCTTTTACTCGGCATTTCATTTGATGTATTTTCCACGTGATAAGAGAACTAATTTTGGGAAGATAAGTACTCTTATTGGGCCATTCGGCATCGTTCTGAAACTTATCAATAAAAACCGGATAACCCTATTTTCCATGACTGTACAATAGATGTCGTAAACTTTAAATCTTAAGAAATTAATCCCAACCTGCTTTTACAAGAATTATTGACTGTGGTTGGCCAATTTCTCAAGACTTAAAGCTTATTATGACTATTGCAGGTCCGGACTAAACGTTCATAAATTTTATTTACCGTATCTGAAAGACGATATTACAAAAATCCTCTATTTACAAAACAAAATAAAAATCACTTGCCGATGTTGAGAAAAAAGTCATCAAACATCAATTAATTGAGTAAAAATAAAATCATCTGAAAACATGGATCAATTGAAAACAAACTGTCAGCTTTTTCGATTAATCGATGAAAATCGCCCGTCCCTAGTATTATTATCTTGATCACCGAATCCCCCGATCGTAAAGTCGATCGCACGAATTAGCTGATTAGTTACGGAACATATCTGAGTCTAAGGCCTGCCAACCTTATAAACCAAAATGTCCGAATTTCGGAAGACCTAACCTGACACAAGAGAAAAAAGATCGCACAAGTTTTCGACGCTCGCTCTCCGAGCGGAGATGGAATCGCGCTGATCGTTAACACGGAATACGAAGACACGCGCGCCGCGCTTCCACGTTGCGATCGCCTCGGACTTGCCGAAGGTCTCCATTACGCGAATGCGAGCTGCATCGCTAACTCGCGAACCGCGGGGTGCATTGTACCTCTCGCGAGTGCGCCGCAGGTATTGTGCAGCGGCGCATACCCGACACCTGTTGCCTCTCGGCCGTGCTCTCGGGAAAACGAGACGCCTGCCGGGAGAGAAAGAGAGAGAGAGAGAGAGAGAGAGAGAGAGAGAGAGAGAGAGAGAGAGAGAGAGAGAGAGAGTGAAAGTAGGGGGGAGATCGTAACGACGCGTATAAATTACGATCGCCCGTTCGGCGTGTGTTCACCCTTTTACGAGCGCGGTGCTCCCGACTCCTCAACGTCCCTCCCGACTGATTTACGCCGCGGTACCCGCGAATTATCTCCCCTCTCGGCTCTTTTCGCGATATCGCCACTCTTAGACAGCGTTTTCCGCAGCCGCGTCCTCCTCCGAGGGGCAGGAGGGAGCAGCAATTTATATAACGCGCTCACGGCCGCGCCTAAACGCGGCGCGTTTCGCCGAGCGAGAGACGCTGCGAAGTCGCTCGCGTGTCGCGAATGATTCTTCGGCTTGATTCGGCGCGGCAGGGTAAAGCGAGGTCGTCGATAAAAGTCGTAAGGTTCTAGGCGTAAGGTCGTAAGAAAACTGACCTATCGCGGTCGATTGCTCTCCTTGCGGTCCAAAAATTCTGATCGGTTAGTTCTCTTTCTTACGACCTTACAACTTGGGATTTCGCTACTTTTATGGTAGACCCTGGTTTAAGACGCGAAGGCTGCTGTTCGCTCGCTCGGGGAATCCCGGCGAGAAGAGAAAAGACACAGAGCAGGCCACTCCCGATCGGCGGCCGGCCTCGTTTAGCGCCATCTTCGAAGGGCGCTGAACGGGGTCGTTATCGCTCGAGTTATTTATGATGAACGCGTATTATTTTCCTCCCTCGTTAGTCACCCTGTAACTGTGTCCGCCGGCTGTGTTCGGCTTTGACACACGTGTTGTTACACGCCGCTCTTTGTAGTCGGCGCCGCTCGTTGGCTCCCTCGGATCCTCGCAGATTTACCGCCGCCGTTGAGAGACACTGGCGTTTTGGCGACGCGACACGGGCAAGAAAAGTGTGTCCGACTCGCAGGCGGATGATCCCGTAGAATCCGAGTCCCGGAGGACCACTCTTCCGCTAACTTGGGCGGCGCGCACACGTGGCGCACGTGGCGCGAAGTCGGTCAGAGGTCGCGGAGGCGCGGGGGGTGTCGCGCCGCCGCTCTTTGACCGCTCTCACATCTTGAGATATTTCTTTCGTGCCGGTTACCCAAGTAGCCGCCGTTACACAACCATATGTAATGTAATAAATAAGTCGTCTGTGATAAATACACAATATAGAATATGCGAGATGCGAGCGCGCTGTGTCGTTACTCTTTTGATCTTTTATTTTTATGTCTGCTTTCATGGGGCGCCAAATTCCGATCGGTCGTAACAGTAAAAATTATATGAGAGCTGGTAGAGCGAGATAGTTGGGTCATAAGTTTACACATCAAGGGAGTAGTCAATTAATACACAGGGTGTGACCGAAATGATGGTGCAACCGGGAAGAGGACGATTCTACGTGAAAAGTTGGAGATGTAGAAGAAACGGAAGGGTAAATAGGCTATTTAAGGAACTCGTCTCTAATGGTCTTGATACGTTGACGTAAATTATACAACTCACCCTCCTGAATAACATTCGAGAGATTTTAGTCGTCGCTTATTGTATATCAAAAAGTTATTAACAAAAGAAGTTTTATAAAATCTAATTTTCCGATACAGTATATGTTAAAAAATGTTAAATAGTATGAGCGGGACCCTTCTCTGAAAGAAAAACCTAACCTAACCTAACTTAACTTATACATCTTTGCATATGATTAGGCGTTGTGAGTTTTAAGGGGACTTTTTCAACAGCGCCTAACATTATGCGAAGATACAGGGTATCTATAAAGTCCGACCCCACTTCTGGATCTCAGAAACAGCTTTAAATATATGGACTTTATAGATACCCTGCATAATAAATTGGGTTAGGCTAAAATAGATTAGGTTCGAGCAGAGGTTCGCTTTCCTGCTTATATTGTTTAACATTTTTTAATTATATACCATGTCGGGAAAATAGATTCTTTATGAAACTTCTTTTGCCAATAACGTTTTAATAAACAATGAGCGGCGGCAGAAATCTCTTGAATATCACTAAGGAGAATGAGTTATATAATATACGTCAACATATTAAGACTATTGGAGGTTGGTCCCCTAAACAGCATATTCACCAATAAAAGAACCTCTGCGAAGATTAAGAGACGCTTTGAAAAGCAGAGCAATATCATTCGAGAATTCATCGGCAAGCGTACTTATACAGGATGTCCTTGGAAACGAAACATTACGAAGATTAATCGAATCAAACTGCAGAGAAAAGTCAAGTACCATTTTGCAAAAATCGCGATAGTTATTAAGTTATTAAGTTATTAATGACTGAAAACGACCACATCGCACAAGTTGTTTTAATTGATAACTTGAAAATTTGCATACTTATTTGCAAAATGGCAGAGGGCTTTTTTGTTCAAAATGGCTTAACCTACAATTATATACGACGGCTATTGTGCCTAGCGACAGGTTCAAGACTCAGGGTTCAAAGTTCAATATACTCGTACCTATCGCTAGACGCAACAGCCGTCATATAATTGTAAGTTAGGTAATTCTGAATAAAAAAATCCTTCCAGAAGATCCCGGACACCCTGTACATAGACGACTAACGGTTTCAGATTGTCTGCGAATCGGCTGCACAAGTCCGTCAAGTTGAAGGTGGATTGTTGCGGCACCTCGGCGCGTGTCGTCGAGACGGACGGCAAACAAAAAGCGCCTTGCGAGCGAACACATGCGAGATGTCGACCGTGTGATTTCTGTTGCAGAATATGGGTATAAAGGATGAGTTCCATCAGAAGAACATATTGGTGTGCATCGAGGAGCTCTGCCAGCCGTCGCCCCCGCCGCCGCCGGTGGCAACGGAAACGACGGGACCGACGACGCCTAGCGTGGACCCGGCGAACTGCCCCCTCGGAGTCGGTTATCCGGGCAACAACGCGACCAATAACGCGCACAATCTCGTGCCGCACAGTTTCAGCGTGCTGGAGAAGTGCGACAAATGCCATAAATACCTCAGGGGCCTCTTGCACCAAGGCTTCCTCTGCCAAGGTACGCCCGCGTCCTCGGTATCGATCCTCGCGCCGCTCGCGAGTAATCGCGATAATAATAATAATAATGACGGCAATAACGCTAATAATAATAATAATAACGCGACTTGATCCCTGTCGGGTTTTTTCACCCCGCGAGAGCGGCTGGAAGATCCTCGCACATCGCGCCATGTCAGATGTCTCTTGAAATTTTCGCCTCACTCGAAAGTCTCTCGCCCTGCCAATTATGGTAGAAAAGAAAAATACATATATAAACAAGTAAAAATGAATATATATATATATATAAATACATCGCGCGTGGACGTCGCGACCGCTCGCGAATTAATTATGGAATCGAGCCGGGAATCACGCAGCGGAACGAGCCGTGCATTTCGCGCGTTCGCGCTGTTTGACCTCGCTGAACGTGAATTTTCTGCGTTGCGCAGATTGTGGACTGGTCTCTCACAGGACGTGTTCGGCGACGGGTCTGCCTGCCAATTGCATCTCAGCCTCGGACTCGGACAATCGTATCGGCAGGTTTACCTCGGGTAAGTCACGTCGTCGCCGTCGCCGCCGCCTCGCACTAGTCGTAGTAAGGTGCGCCCGTAGCGAGGCGCAGCACATACACTCGTTAATCCTCCCCGTCGCTCCGTCCCTAATGGACAGAATACGGAAACCGCTGAAAAATCCAGCCGCGTCTTCCACGACGCCCGCGCCAGGGAGCGAGAGAGCGAGGGAGAGAGAGAGAGAGAGAGAGAGAGAGAGAGAGATTGCGTCAGAAAGCAGTGGCGCTCTCTCGCCAGCATTGTAACCAGCCGGGGCGGGATCATGCGAGTTATACGACCGAGCTGACGGCAAGGACGCCGTCCTGGCGCCTGCCAGCCGCTGTGCGGCATCTCGTTACGATAACCTGGAACCTGGAACACTCGCCGAGAAGAGGCTCGCGCACGCACCTTGCCTCGGCGCGCCTCACTGCACCTCACCTCACCTCACCTCACCTCACCTCACCTCACCTCACCTCACCTTACCTTACCTCATGGCTGACGACTTTCTTCCATTGAAAATCCCACCGTCGGGTCGCACTCGTGTGGGAGTCGCACACACGGCCCTCTCGTTGGCATTTAATGATCCTTAAGCCGAGCGCGCAGAGTTTCGACACGGTTTTACTCGGATTACTGTCGACGCGTCTTGCCTCCTCCGCCCTCTCTCACGGTTCACTCCACCGCCGTCGCCGTCTCTCTCCCTCCCCCCCCCCTTTTGCGAGCTTTTGCGAGAAACAATTTCGCTCCGATTCGACTCTAGTGACGAGCTCCTCCGGGTGAAAACGTGCGCGCGCTCTCGGACGCCGGCGTTGCTAATGATTGGCGAACACACACATACACGCACAAGCGCGCGCGGGCGGTAAACTCGCTCTGAGATTCTGCGAGAGAAACGTATTACATATGCGGCGTAGTGTCTGCTGTTATCTGGACGCGATTGTGCAGATGATCACGTTCGGATCGCGATCTGGCGGCGGACTTATCTTCATCTTGATAAAGTAAATGGGTATTATCTGCCTCGGAAAAGACGTTATCTTCGGAGAATTATCTGAAATGATATTCGTGCGGATAATTCAATCTGCTCCGCGTCGCAAGGTATGCGTAATATCGGAATGCTGCCTTCTGCGTCGCAGGAGACGTTGCGTTAGTGCACCGCGCGTGCCAGTGACGTCACTGAGGCCACAATCGCGTCGGGATTCGTCTGTGACAACGGGGCAAAGTGCTAAGAGGAATTTACATATTTCATCTTATCTGTCGGCACGGCTGATTTTTAAATCATCCACGGGGCGCAGCGCTGCATGCGCGCGCGCGCGCGCGCATCAGAGTCGAGGGTCGATCGTCTCGGTTGTGTATTATTTTACAGTTCCCCGGCGGGAATGATCACGCGCTCCGGAAGGGCGCGACTCCGTGCGATTAGATTCACGTGACAGTTTCGCGGGACTTGAAGTTCGCAAATTCGTCGACGAGACGGGTGCGCCGACGGCGTTCTCGCAGCGGCGTTGTGTGTGCCGCACGACGAAGGCGCATTTATCGTACGCACGCATGCGCATGCGCGCGCGCGCGTCATTCGGCAGCGAGAGACGGTTGAAACGGCACAAATGCCCCAGACGACGATAATCGCTAGAGACAACGTAGGCGAGGCTCAACGCTCGCGCCGTCAACGCGCCTGCAGCGATGCATTTAATTAACGCTGCACGTTGCGCGCCAATGACGGAATCGAATATTTGTGCATAGCGAAACCGCGAGCGCGCGGCGCCAGCCTTCAGGGCCGTGTCACTGTCGCCACGCTCTGCTCCCAATCTCCCATTCATTTATTCCAACTTCTACCGTCGCCGACCGCGCGTACACATACAGGGTGTCTGGAATTTTTCGGAAACGAAAAACTGTGAAGATTAATCGGATCAAACTGAGAAGAAAAGTCATGTATCATTTTGCGAATAAGTACGCGAATTTTCAAGTCACCAATTTAAAGAGCTTCTGGATGTGGTCATTTTTAATCATTAATAATATAATAACGCAATTTTTGCAAAATGGTACATGACTTTTCTTTTCAGCCTGATGTGATTAATCTTAACAATTTTTCCTTTCCTGAACATCCCGGACACCCTATATATATATAAGATGTTCGAAAATAAGACTTCCAGATTTACAGGATAGATAGTTTATTGTGTCGAGTAAAAAGTGCTTGGTAAACATAGGTCGAAAAATCAAGTATCTTATCGTACCGTTTTATTATATTTTGTTTTTTGTCTCACGTTTGACGTGCTCGGATTACAGAATATTGCGAGCTTTTTAAAAAATTTCTGGTCTTCGAATCCGCTCAACTGCATCCTGTGCTCGCGGATGATGATTTTTCTATATTATTCACGGCTGACAGAGTAAACAGGAATAAACAAAGTTTTTTCTCGTAATAATAAAAAAGGATCCGATGGATTTAATTCGAGAGATCGAAGAGATGTTACTTCTCGTAAACGTCCGAGTAATAATACGCCAAGATACTTGTTTGTTTATTCATCGCGTATGGTAAACTGAGACGCACAAATAACTTGCGTTACAAAAATCGATAAATTTTTACAACCCTGCTTATTTTTCGATCCACGTTTCTTCTGAGCATTTTGTACTCAATATAATGAGTTTATCCTGTAAGGTTCTTTCTCAACACCCGGTATATACACACGTACGCTTGGTTTCAACATTCGGTTTGAGCGTCTTTTCTCATGCAATTTGGAACACAGTCGATGGTCCAACGACCGAACTTGTTTCCGATTGGTTATCGGAAGTTCTGTCATCGGACCAATCGCATCGGGAAAAATAGTGCAGTCGCTTTTGAAACTCAGCGAAGACTCGGCTTTAATGTCAGTTTCGAAATTAAGTCTCGGTACAGTTGAAAACGCTTCTTCCTCTCGATAGAGAGAAATCAGAACATAGCGATGATCCAACGAGGGGACTCGATTTTTAGATTGATTCTCAGAAATCGCGGAAACCCAGTTCCGCCATCGATAGCTGCGTTTCAAATTGCGCGCATCGAGGAAAAGGACGTCGAAGCATCCGTTTGGACACCGGAGCACACGGTGCCGTGCAGCCGGTACGACGATTACTGCATCGATCGCTCGAAATTATTGCGTGATAACGTCGTCGTCGTCGTCGTCGTCGTCGTCGTCGTCGCACTTATTGCACGTGATGCCGACGATAAGAGGACTGGTATGAGAGGCGATATCCCGACAGCGGCAATTTCGGGCCGGGGCGCCTGCACGGGATGTTAATCGGGGGCCCCCTCCCCCCCTCCCTCGATTTTGTTATCCGCTCCATCCGCCGAAGAAGGTCGGATTGAAGCAACTGTCGCTCTCCGACGACCACGTGGACTGCTTAGGCGGGATCCATAATGCCGCGCTTTTCTTCGCGCCGCGCGCGAAAGCGCTGCTCGCAACGAGCATCGCCACCGCGGCCGATTTACAGTAATTGGCGGTGTTCGATCACTCGGGTGCCAGTCATCGGCCAGCGCGACGGCGAAGTGTAGCGATGACGAAAGTGCTCACGATAACGTCCCGCCGTTGCCGCACAGTGGGGCCAGATGACATTCTTTGGTTGAAAATTCTCTAAAGACCTGAATTTCCAACCGATCATCGACACTAGTGGATGAGGTTGGATCCTGAATAAATTCCGAAGAGATCTGTCTTGCCAAAATTAAAAAGAAATTTTTTTCTCGAATTACTAGCCCCAAGAGAGGAAAAATTATCGTTAAACGCGAGAAACTTGTGAAATACTCATTATTCGACACTTATTTCGATCTAATAGCGTATTCAGCGGATTGAAACTATGAAACCAATCAACAGACACCTCGAGATTTATCGATCTTGAAGCAGAGATCCATTAACCCAAAACTCATATGCCCAAAATGCAAAAACATCAAATATAGACCCGTGAAGCACAAAACCGAGGGATTTTAATCCTTAATTCTCTCTTAATGTGGGCTGAAATGATGAGCTTTAAAATCCTGAGTTTTCTAAATGGTGATTATAAGTTCTAGGGTTTCGCATTTATCCACAGGCTCGAACCTATTGAGGTCGAACCCAAGACACTGTGCTTTAAACGATAAACTTTTAAGACAAACCCTAAACCCATGAACCCTGAACCGATAATTTTTTCAAAATTTCAGTTAGGCAGATCTCTTTGGAATTTATTCAGGATCAACCTCATCCATTGGTGTCGATGATCGGTTGGAAATTCAGGTCTCTAGAGAATTTTGTACCAAAAAGTGTCATCTGGCCCCACTGTGCGCGTCGGTCGAAAATTCACGTCACGTGCGGGCGGGCACGACGCGCGCGGCTTTCATATCGGTGGTCTCGGCCGATTAGCTCCGTCTGAAACTGACGCAATCAATTCAGTCTGCCGTTGTGTCCTCGCTATCTCGCGGGAGATCGAGCGAGACTCGTGGCACTTTTGAAAATGGCACAGTATCTCGCTCTCGCGCTGCGCGCCATTCGCGGACTCGACACCTAGGGATGCACCGATAAATCGACAATATCGATATATCGAGAGACAAATATCGAATATTTATCGGTATTCTTTTGTCTCCGATAAAATCGACATATCGATATGGATTTTACTGATTTTCGTATTTTTCAGTTACAGCTCTAGGGGCCTATTACGGTTCTACTACTGACATGAAAATTACAAAAGTGAGTGAATTCACTAGAATATATATTATGTGATTGCTCGATGTCTAGTAAATTCGCTCACTTTTATCATTTCCACCTCAATCGTTTAACCGTAATAGATATCTCCTGCTCCATGTATGTGGTAGTCTTGGGCAAATGTTTATACCGATTCATTATATATTTTCTAATAAGAATACTACAATAAATTATATATGAAGATAAAAATTTTTAAAAGATCTTTTCAAACTTTTCGTGCATATCCTTTATATACATAGCCCTATATGTATACATTTTTTTATATAAATATCGATATAAATATCGAGATTTTTCAAAATTATCGATATTATCGTT